ACACAGCACACACAAATCACAACACACACACCACACACACACACACACACACACACACACACACACACACACACACACACACACACACACACACACACACACACACACACACACACACACACACACACACACAACACACACACACACACACACACACACACACACACACACACACCACACACACACACACACACACACACCACACACACACACACACACACACACACATCACACACACACACACACACACACTACACACACACACCACACACACCACACACACACACACACACACACACACACCACACACACACACACACACACACACACACACACACACACACACACACACACACACACACACACACACACACACACACACACACACACACACACACACACACACACACACACACACACACACACACACACACACACACACACACACACACACACACACACACACACACACACCACACACACACACACACACACAACACACCACCACACACACACACACACACACACACACACACACACACAACACACACACACACACACACACACACACACACACATCTTGGAGTGCAGTGATTTGTGCTGTGAATCTGAAACAGACCTATTGAAAGAAGAGTAATGCCCAGTGCTTGACAACCGTGCTAATTGACTAGCCCCCTCCCCAGCAATGAAACTAAACGGCCCCCCCATCTTTTATCTTTTCAATCATTCCCTGACAGCTCTCCTCTTGTCCCACACTCATCCCATCCTCTTCCTCATATCGTTCTTCATCACCTCCATCTCCTTCTCTCTCCCTCCTCATTGCCCCCGCTGTCCTTCCCCCCTCATACCCATACATGTAATCATTCATTAGAACCAAGGCAGTTGTCCATTAGGCAAAGCAGCCATTTTGGAAATTGCAGCAAATCTTCCATGAAAAGACATTTCCTCTAATGCGGTAGTCACGCTCGGATGGAGAAGGAGAGGAAGATGGCAAAGGAGAGAAAGAAGACGAGTGGGCAGAGATGGAAGGAGGAGAAAGAGGGAAGGAGAGAGATAGAGAGTGAGCCCCCCCAGCCATAAGCCACCAAGCGGAAAGCAAGCCTGCTGTTTGATTAGAGTGACACCATCAGAGAGGGAAGGAGGGAGGAAAGGAAGGGAGGGAAAGTGTTTTAAAAGGCAGGCAGAGGGGATGAAGAGGGGGCGGGAGAGAAAAAGAAGGGGGTGATTTGAGAGGGCCGAGATAGAGGCAGTAAAATTAGCCCCATCACTTCGCTTACTAAGACGCTCTATGACACTCTAGGATTAAAAACTGACACTCACACACAGTCATGATGAGATGTGTGCGCAAACGCACACGCGCGCAGGACAGATGGTATCCCCCGTCTGAAAGTGTGGCTCTAATTTGAGTAAAGTGGTAGATAGATACCTCCTTAACCAATTAGAAGGCCCATATCACCGGCCTTGCATCAGGGGCTGAGTCTGTTTTGTATCACACACTCATTAGGGTGTGTGTACCACTATTTGAGTGTGTACAAGTGTGTCCCATGGGATCACTAAAGAACATTAAAACTGAATAAAGAGGTGGGGAATGACAAATCTACTCTGAGTGGCGTTCTGCCGAGTTATGAGAGTTATTTTCTCCCACAATGCCACTGTTCATCTCAATCGCATCTCATCACCGATCAAAGACAGACCTGTCTCTGCTATTACCAACCATTCATCTCGCTGCCGCTCGCTGCCGCTTAATGCGCCTCCTTTTAAAGCTGACACATTTGTCACCAGACCAAACCAAGCCTAATCCATCGTAGCATTTTTTTCCCTTCTACAATTTGTGATATTCTCAATTTGAAAAACTACCACATTCAATCCAATTTCCTCTGTCTCGGAAAGCATTTGATGCTCTCTTTGAACAGAAACATTTTGAAAAACAGGGCAATACTCAGTGATACAGACCCATCTGTAGAATCAATAAATAATACAACCATGACAACAACAGGGCCTACAAAATGTTACACCATCGATACAAAACAGTTCAGCAGTGGGTTTGGACTCAGAGATGTTCTTGGAAGAAAATCACCTAAATGTCAGACTGGCTGTCTCTGTTGTTTAAATGGCAACTGGTGAGCTAACATTGTCATTATATTCTGCATTACAAGCCAAACAAAGTCGAGTGTTTCTATTGAACTATACTGTTTTGCAGAAATGTGATAATCGATTCAAGTAGTTTATTTGTCCTTTCACTTGGTTCCCTCAAATGTGAATATGATTGAATGTCTTGATTTGATTTAATCAGAGGAAACAAGCAATTCAAATGTCTTCATATGCATTGCAAACTGGGGATGTGCACTTTCACTTTTTTACTATTCCCTGCCATTCTTCAGTCATGGTTAACCAATAATGAAAATAATTATCGGCACGGTTTTTTTTTTTTACTATCATTGAATGAAAGCGAACCAATATGGCGTCAATAACAACTTGCCCAACCACTTGAATAAATGTGTCTGTTCTTGACTTGTTCCCCCCCCCCCATATAGATGTTTTTCTGACATCCAGACCTATTTATGTGCTTGAATCTAGCACATGGAAACGGTCCTAATTCACATTTTATTTTTGCAGCTTTTAAAACGTTTGTGTAAAATTCACTTGACAGCTGGATGGGAACACAGCTGCAGAGAGATGCTGGATAGCTCCACACTACTGCTGCAATGTCAACGATTTTAGATAGGCTGTTCTCCCTTTGCTCTTCCTCCTAATTAACAACGCAACTACAAACCATTTCCCCCGGAGTGTGCCGAGTCAGACACGTAAAACCACTGGCTGGTGCTACAGACTGTTTATCTCCACCGCACTGACAATACGCACAGCTGATCTTAAAGCTTTGTGTACGACACTGCGCCAAGAAATCCCTGACCACCGTTCTGTAAACACAGATGATCTTCTTCACGGCCCTCAAGACAAACGTCCCTAAACAAGCACTACAGTGATACAAGAGAGACAAACAATGAGGGACACAAAGACTTAAACAAACGCAGACAAAGCACATATAGAGAAAAGCAGGCAACGAAACAGAAAATAGCAGCAAAAACAGGAAGGGGAACAGAGAGAGTGCATTTCCAGTTTCTCTTCAAAGCTCCTTATTGCAGATTCACTTCTTTTCTTTTTTTTGGAAGTCAAGCTTTGTGTAATATGGAGCAGCATTGTTTTTCTTCAGGGGGCTATTAGGCTTGTAGTCCCTTGTTTCTGCTGTCGGCAGAGATAGGGCTAGTCGATTATAGCAAGGCAAGAGATCCTCTCCCATGCATATCTAGACTTCTGACTTATACGCACTGTCTTCCTGTCTCTTTCTGTTCCCTCTTCAGGTGCACACAGACACACACACACACATTAGTTAAGGCTTTGGAACCGTGCTCACAAAGTGATGAAAGGCTGTTTATCCTGCTTCCACTGTGATATCTCAGCTCGCCATGCTGAAAGCACGTTATCACCTCTGACCAGGGGAAACCACGGGAATCAGTACTGACGCCAGCAGCAAATACCAGCTCTAGTGTGTGTGTATGTCCCAGCAGTAATAATCACCCGGATTAGTGCGGAGCCAAACCCCCGCAGGGTCCCCCTCTCCCCCCTACCGACACAGCCCAGCCCTGTCCAGGCTGCAGAGCTGATCCCCAGTTTGAGCAGCCATGGGAAGCAGAGCAGCCGGCCTGACATCTCCATGCGCCTGGCTGCCAGACAGATAGGCAGAGAGGCGGAAAAAACGTCTTTCTTCCTTTAAATTCCCACGTATTTATAACCCCCTTTGTCCTATTGATCACGCAAAGCCAAAATAAAATATTGAACGAGCTCAGGCAATACAAAGGCACATAACCCATTCAACAAGCATACCCTTTAACCACAAGAGTGCAGTGAAATGGAAGTTGATACAGCCGTCAATATGTCTGGCTGAAGGATGCAATATCGTGGAAACAACAATAGGGAGGCGCGGAAAAAATAAATGGGTAATAACTTAATAAGAATACGTGTAGTGTCTGGATAGCTCGCAGTCAATGCAAGGGATTATTACAGAGAGGAAATGTTGCCTTGATGTATTACACTCTCCATGCCTGAAATAAATTCAGCCGAATCTAAGTGTGTGATTCAGTGGGAGGGCAGCCTGATATTGGCACTTATCAACAATTGTGAGAGGCACTGTTGAGCCTCTGTGGCATTTGTGACAGCGCAATGTGGAAATGTCGATTTGTCTCTCAGCAACCCACTGTCTCAGGAACATGCACAGCCTCATCGAGGTGTGCCTTTTATATCAAAGCATAACATAGCATCATAACTCTGTCCAACGCAGTGGGAGAAAACCTTTGATTTGATTTGATTTGATTTGGAACATAGCAACCAATGACATATTTTACGACCTTGTGGGAACTTAATTGTGTTTGTTGATCTCAGCATTTTTATTATATTACCTTGTGGTGAGTTGTATCCTTTCTGTTATCACTACTATTCTTTTGTGGTGTAAAAAAGAAAAAATATTGCTGCAAACTCATAAAGTTGAAAAATATTCTGAGAGAAGAAATTCTATAAAATCCACCTTTAGATCATGCTGATTATGAATGTCTTTCCAGAAGAGAAAGCCTGCATTAAATACTGCTTTGAACACAAGACAAAGATGTGTAAAAAGCAACTGTCAAGAGTAGATAAATAATATTAATGACCTGATCATTATATATTAGTTGGATTTCAATGAAATTATTTCAATCTAATGCAACAGAAGCACCAGTCACAGCTTTGTGACCTTATTGCACCCTAAATACATTTTCTCTACAGAGCCTTCTGCCGATCTCAATAATCTAAAACGACATGATGTAACCTAGTTTCAAAGTGTAAGGGATAAATAATCCTAAAACAATGTTTGTGTAACTATTGAGTCCTAATTGTTGAATACATATGATCTCCTTAACCACACACTCCACATGTCTTCATAATCTCCAGTGAAGAAAGCTCAGTTTTACCTTGGGTTTTTCTGTTTGTTCTCCTTCTTGTTGAGGACCCCCGGCACACAGTTGGTGAGCTCGGTCCAGTCGGCGTGCAAGCCGCAGCTCCAGCCGGTGGAGAACCGAGAGAAGAGCCAGGTCTCCTTGCGGTTCGGCCGGTAGCAGGTACACTTCTTCTGGCCCGGTCTGCAGTCGCAGGGGACCTCCAGACGGACATTCTGGACCAGGTGTCTGCCGAAGGTAGTCCCCCCGGTCTTCTGGATGTGCAAAAACACTATCACATCCTCTCCCTTGATTTGGAAATCGATCGTCCTCTCCAGGTCCTTGACAGGGAAGTAGTATTTCTTAACGTAGTGGGGGTCCGGAGTGGGAAAGATGTCCCCCTCATCTTCCTCCCGTGAAATAACTGTGCGGGGAGCCAAAATTGATCACCCCGGGAGCCACGTACTGATAGAGAATCAGCATGAAACACACGGATCCGACGACGATCAACAAGAATTTGCTGCTCCTCCTCGACCATGTTCCTTCCAAGTACGGTGCCGACAGTACGCTACCATTTCCCCAGTGAAGCCGACAGCAGGGAGCGGGGGCGCTCGGCTTCTGCATGCTCGTTCTCCCCCCGCCAAGAAACACTCGTTTTCGGGGCTCAAGAGTGGCTCATTCCGCTTCGAGACGTCCGGCGAAGTTGGCTCATCGTTCACCGACACCGTTTAACACCCGTGAAAGACGCATTGTAACTCGCTGAAAGCCCCCCGTAGACGACCCTCCCCCGTTTACTTTACTTTGGTTTCCAGTCTCTACACACAACAGGCTCACTGCATCACCATGGAGTTATGTACCCAGGGTGCAGCGCGAGTCCTACCTTTTCAACGTCTCTCGCTCGCTCTCTCTCACTGAAAACACAGGGAAAAGGTCGCTTTAATTTATTGGTTCACAAGTAACGACCGCGTCATCCGTTGGCAAACAATGGCAAGTGGACTTTAAAAAGATAGATATATTCATGCTACATTGTGAATTAAATTCTGAGTTGTGAGGACACATGTGCTGTTAGTAGTGGATAGGCAGCCCAGCCATTTGTATAAGAAGTATGCAACTAAAACACATTTCATGCTATATAGTTTAAGACAACAAAACCCAATGCAGGTAACTTCTAGAGTTAATGATGCATCTTATATTTTGCAATGAACTCCATCAATTGAAAGTATTACTAACAGACTTTTGGGTGAACCAAGCATTATTATCATCTAAAGCTTATTTTTAAAGGGGTTGTGTAGTGACTTTTTCATATTTTCAGCAATATACAGTAGACTACATTACAATGCAAGAAAGATTATTCTATTTTCCAAAATAGTTCAAAAATATCTTTGTTTATTTTGTGTAGAAAAATAAAACTATTGTTATCAGACATAAGCAGTTTTTAAATAGACCACCGAATTTCCAACTTTCATTGACCCCATCATACCATCATATGCGTGTTGTGGTTATATTCAACACAACTGACTGGAGTACAAATAATATTAGTTTTGTGCACACAAAATAATGATATTGCTGAATGCAATGTGGAACTAAATGCAGTCCATGTGGATCCATTTATAAAGAAAGCAAGAGTAACACAACAGATAGATGATGAACTATTTCCTATGAATGCAATATAATTATTAATTATTACAATAAGACAATAAGACAAGACACCAAAAATATCAAAAAAAAGTAGCAACACAAACGTTTTAACATCAGTTTCAGTGCTAAAAAAAAAACCTCCAAACTGTTTCCTTACAAGAAGTCCAAAATGTCCGACAACCATGAGATCAACCATATGTTTCACGTTGCTTCTCGCCTATCTACCGCTGGTGGTCAGCACTGAGCCCTGCTGCCTCTTCTGTAATGCAGTCCAACAACTTGTCAGGCATATTTATGCGATTCCCAGGGGCGATTACTGTCGAAAAATGTTTTGACTAATCACATCTACGAGTGAAAGAGAGAGTTTCAACTGCTGGATGTTGTTCTGATAAGAGTGGCTCCACTAAGCTGACACTGTTCTTTTTTTCCACCAGTGCCCCCGAGGTTTAGCTCCAATATCTTCAGACATTTGTTATTGCAGATGTTTATTGTGGTAATAGGGCAGAGCCGAATGACTGCCTGCGTGTAATCTTGGTAAGCTACTAGGCCAGATTCCCACATGTTTCTTAAATGAAGCTCAATCAGTGAGATCAGCCCAATCAGCAGACTCGAGGGTGTGAAGCAGCAGTTGGTTGTGGCTGATGGCAAATTAGGTTGGTAAGGGATGAGGGTATATTTTCACTTTGAGTGGTTTGGGTTGACGATGTGAAGTGTGTTTAGTCAGGCTGCAATTGCCCATGTGCGTATTCACAGTTTCAGCTGCCTTGATTTCCCAGTTGTATGTGGATCTCTGAAGGTCTGAGCTCATCTTCTTCCTCAAACCTGTCATAACTTATAATTTATCTCAGGTAGTTTTATAAGAGGGCCAGGGTGTTCAGCATTTCCACATAAATACTTTGACCACTCTTTAAAAACTAGCTTCCCTGCTTGTCCTTTTAAATGTAAAACCATAAATTGTCACCCCTTTATGCATTTCAAATCAGTGTTTACTGTCTATTTGTAACAATGCTTTTAAAACTGTTGGTAATCCATTAATAAATGCTTGTTGGTTTTACATTTTCTAATAATCCATCAAGTCTGCGGGTATACTTGTTAATAACAATGTGTTAATAAATAGATTTTGCTCCAGTGTTCTTTGTTTTAGGTTATGGTTCAAGGTCAATCACCTATCAGGAATTATTCACATCCTGGCAACCCAAAAGTTGTCCTAATGAGTTGTAGATAAGTGTATAAAGAATTAGATTTATAAGGCACAAGTAAAGCCATTAGTTCCAACTTAAAAAGCCTTTATTAAGTGTTACTTTTCAGAAAGTAATACCAAAGGTTGATCATCTATAACATCGTGTATTGAGCCAGACATGTTGCTGGTGCCAGCTCCCTAAAATAAGAGGAATGCATCAACTCAAGACACATTTCTAGTGTAAACATATGTTTTCAATCTCAGTCACATCCCATTTTTGTTGATTGAAACATCCGACTGCGATCAAAAAAGTTCCATATTTTTATAAATGTCTGGTTTGTGTGCAGTCATTCCTCTTTCAATGATGAGGTTTTCCAACAGCCATTCACCTAGATATGATGTGTTTATCCTCCTTGTGCTCCTTCAATCTAGTTTCTGAAATGTGAGGCTTCACTGCTGTTCTGTGTTGTTTTTTGTAAATAATATAGTTGTGTTTACGTCTATTTGTCTGACATTTTATTTAGACTATGTTTTGTCATTTAGCCTCTGTTGGACAGTTTAGTGCTAAATTCTTGATCAAGACCCATTGGATCTAAGAGGTTGTACTAATACACACCGATACAATTGAGATTTTTTGAATATTCATTTGTTAAAAGTTTCGTTTTTAGATTACATTCCACATATTCCCCAATTCATTAGATGAGACCGACAGAGCCCCTGGCCTGGTATTGTGGGGGCTACGGGGCCCCCAGCCAATAACCTTTTTATTACTTAGTCGGTCAATCCAGCCTCCGCTTTGAGTTTAGATACAGACAGGACATCTGGAGAGATAGAGAGATAAAGTGATAGGATTTATTTGATTATTAGCTCTACAGACTCTGGAAATGGTGACTGCTACTCAAACAATTTCCCAGAACACAGGGTGTGTCTTCTGATGGTTTATTTAATTCAAAAAACTGTTTCAAAACCTAAGATGTATAGTTAAAGATCATATAAGACGTACAGAAGCAGGAGGTGTTACATTTGATAAGCTGGAACCAAAGAATTTGACATTTTTAGTTGACTCTGATTAAAATGAACTCCATAAAAAGATATCTTTCAAACTACTTTCCTCTCACCTTTTTGGTCGCATCAAACACTAAACTCCTCTGTTCTTTCTCCTTTCTTGCAGCCATGGCTACCACACCACCATGACCTCACCAAACCTTGAATTTAAAGTCATGTCATGTGAGTTAACAACATTTGCCGATTAACAAACTCCTGCTTGGCTCAGTGTTTGGACTGTTTAGCACCTTGACGGAAAAATACAGTTTTTTCTCCTTTGTGCCTTCCCTTCCTGAGATGATCCCAGCACGACTTGAGCTGAGCGGGCGAGGGCAGCTAGTCAGCGTGTGTGCCGGTCTCAGTCTTGAATAATTCAACCCTGCTTATTTACATGTTCTTTACTTACACTGAAGCAGCATCCGCCTGTCACACTGCTGTTAAACACACTCGCTTATGACTTCTGCCTCGCCCCTAGCATTACCAAGTTGTGTTCAATACTGGGAGATTGTTGCAAGAGTGCATGTGTGTGACAACCCTCGCTGCGTTTGTGAGACAGAGAGAAAGCGACTGGGAATATTAATACAGTGTGTTTGTGAGTGTTAACTTGTGTGTGTTTGTGAAGGGCTGTTGGTGCGTGTGTGTGTGTGTGTTGTGCTCCCACCAAGCGCAGTGTCATTATGAGCGGCGTTACTTAAAGAAGATTGATGTCACAGAGTGTGTTGCCCTCTGGCTCGGGTATAGAGATATGACAGTCTGTTTATCATGGGAACCAGTTATTTGTTGCTTTTGCATAATGATCCTGTTTAGAAGGATATTTTCACACTGTTTCCAGAGGCTTTGAGCTGCGTATTATGTCCTGCCTCAGTGTCTCGTGTATGTACACATTGTTTCTCTTCTGTTGTCTGTTTTGTTATGCTTAGAATGTATTCCAGGCACATATTTATCAATGAACTCTGTCTTGTGATAATGAAATAAGAGTCACATATATATTTCAAAGAGAAAACAAACAAAAAACTGCATATCAAGTACATGGACACAAATGTATGAGGCCTTTCATTCCCACAATTAGAAATATAAATAGAAGGTCAGAGAGATTATAGCTCATTCTCATGCTTACTCAGCTTGCATCTTTGTCTTGATTTTGAGGAGTCTACTCCCAGCCCTATGTCTGCACACACACACACACACACACACACACACACACACACACACACACACACACACACACACACACACACACACACACACACACACACACACACACACACACACACACACACACACCACACACACACACACACACACACACACACACACACACACACACACACACACACACACACACACACACACACACACACACACACACACACACACACACACACACACACACACACACACACACACACACATGTTCCTAACTCTGTGGTGAACTTAAGTTTTTGGGGGAATTCAGCAGCGTATTTGTTTGTTCTTCATAAATAAACAGGCAAAAATTAAGTCAAAAATAATTAACCAAACAGTTTTCATCATAGAGCCATGAAACGAATTATGTCCTGAACCTTCGGAGTGTTCAGACACAAATATTTTCTTTGGATTTGCCTAAGCGGGAAGTGCACACTGTGGAAAGAAAACAAAACTGGGCGCCATCTATTTCCTACATTTCTGAGTTTGTTAGTGTTTGAGTGTGTGTATTTGACAAACAGCGTACACTAAGGAAGTTTATGTGTGTGTGTGTGTGTTATTACATGATTTGAGTTTGTGTACACCCCCGTGTGAGTATGCATGCTATTGGAATGTAAATGTGTGCATACAGGGATGTGTTTGCATGCTTTTGCTTTACATGTCAACCAGTTATCTGTGCGTGAGTTTGCATTATTATGTAAATAAATATAGAATAGACTTTGACACTGGAGACCATATCAAGAAAGCTGCAGGCAGGGTGGTTTAGGTTAAGTCAACAGTAGTATTGTATTAAGGTCAGGAAAAGATTGTTATTCA